GATTAGCCATCGTCTCATCCTCATGTCTTACAGTTTCTAGCCCGAGAGTCAAGCACATACCTTGCAACTTGTTAAACGTTATTTGCAGCCATACAACTGTCAATGCATCCAACTAAATTCACCTTTTGTTTTCAACCTGGACGGCGTTTAGACCTCCTGCGCTTTCCTAGAAGTTTCAGCATGTTGTCTGTGACATCAGGCGGGGAATTATCTTCTTCGCGATTATTATCAGATGTGTGAGTTAACCAGGCCAATGCTTCTATAGCTGCATCTCTCTCTGCAAGGGCTTTATTTCTCTTTGGTTTTCCCACAAACTGCATTCCCTTGAACTCCACCAAGGCCCGAAATTCATTTGTCTTAAGATGCTTTGTTTTATACTTGGGAGGTGAGTGACCTGCCCTCATCAACAGCGTCTGTAGCAAGCTCTTCGGATTCGTTCCATCTTTTGTAAATCGACTACTGTCATTCGGCTCTCGAGGCTTTTTGCTTTCACGACCAAAAACAAACCTCCCTTCGCATTGATCACCCGACACCAGCTCCTGAACAGAGAGCATAAGGTATTTACCTTCCTTGTGGATGTCCATGCCAGGATCTTGAAGCTGCACCTCTCAAGAATCAGTGAGTAGGAAAAGAAGCCAAAATAGTGCTACGTATTTTCTCGAGAATGCAGAATCCATTGAAAAATTAGAGCTGAATGAGTATATCTTTTACTATAGTACACACCAAAAATTAATCAACTCATAGGAATGCACATTAGAATTACTGTTGTTAGTACCTAGCCAATAGACTTGTAAACTGTGATTGCATATTGGTGAAATAATTAAGGCCTCCCAAGCAAGTAAATTGGGATTAAAATTTAGATTCAAATAAGATCAGACTTGGATTCAAGACATAATTTTCTTCATCCTATTATATAGTTAAAAGTTCACTATCCATTTCGCTTCCACTTTGGCACAAAAGCTGATATCTCAAAATCAACTAGCTATTGTCCTGCATATCGAAAATAATATTAAAAACAATACTCTGGTCCTCTATCCATCTCTCTGCCTCACCCCATGTCACCTTCTACAAGCAAAGAAAGCATATTTTGAATATTATGCGAACTTGAAAATTTACAATTTCTGTCATTCCACTCTCTTGTACCCCCCCTACCACAATAACATGTCATAAAAACAGTCGATAAACAAAAGAATATATTGTCTTGCTAATGACGATGGCACCATACATCTTGGCTCTATACTCAAAAAATGTACAGATGACAACATATCATATGTGTTTTTCTCATATTTAATAAAGTGAAGTCCTATCTTTTTGCTACGATACTAAGGGGTTGTTTGACAAAGCTTTTGATAAAAAATAATGTAATATGTGGTTGAAAAGTTGATAAAAGTTACACGACTTTGAACTCAACTTTTTAAGCTTTTCCCAAACAAGCACCAAGTATAAATTATAAACATAATTATTTTTTCACTTATAAAATAAGGTGGGGTAAATCGCAACTTTGGATGACGACCTTGGAATATAAAAGTTAAAGGTTAATTAGAAATAAAATAAAATTAAAATAATGACCTAGCAGTCATATTAAGAGTCATTATGATCATGGGATCACAACAAAAGATTGTGTTGTTCTAAAGAGTAATTTTTCATGTAGTTAGGTTCGGTTATTGAAAAAAAAAAATCAATAATAGAGAATCTAAATATGATGTGATCCATAGAACTAGAGAGGGTCCAAAACATTCTATGTGATCTTTGATACTAATGCTATGTTTGGCTCATGTTTATAAATTGTTTGTGAGCACTCGAGCCACTTTTTATCCACACAATTCGAAGGACTCACATATACTACCCACTTGCCACTTATTCACCACTCATTTCTATCTCTATCTATTTATAATATAAACCGTTTATAAACACTACCCAAACACGAACTAATTTAAAAGGCTGAAGTTCTATGGAACAGTTCATAAGACCAGGTGTACTTACAGACAAATTGTCCATAAAAGAATGTAGCAAAAATGAGAATGGCATTTGCAAAAGAGAAAATAAGTGAATAACATCACCAAGTCACCATACGAGTGATAAGTAAAGAAACAAAATTAAGAGTGCCTCCGGAACAGTTAAAAGTACCTTCTTTTGTAAAAGCGTGTCAAGCTCCTCCTTAAGCTTTACATAGCACTCTGCCAAACTAGGATCCATAAAGAAATCTATGTAACCTTCCAACATTTTCAAATGTCCATCCTGAAAGAAAGTAAAACCAAAGATTAAAACCATTAATCATAAATCTATGCACAATACAGAAGATTTACCGATAAAGAGATTTACCGTAGCACCATGGTTGAGGTTACCACCAAAAAGAATCAAAATAGAATCAGATACTCCAGTTGAATCGCGTATGTATACAGTATTGACTTTTACTTTTTCACCGAACACTAGCCATGGGTACGGAATTGTTTGGTAACGTGCATTCACAGAATTCTGAAAGAAATTAATCATAAATCAATTCACTTGTGATAGACAAACCATAATTTCAGTGAAATTCTTCTATGAAGGTAAAAAATTTAACCAAACAAAAAGATTAGTTTCTTTCCAGATAGCAATACAAAATGTTCAATTTAAATAAATACAAACTTTTCTTAATTAATCCGTATAACTCTTCCCCCCCACCCCTTGTTGTCTGCTTGACTTCCACATAAAAGACTTGAATTCATATCGGAACAAGGCAATGCACCCAGAGGATGGAAAACATCCACTGATGTCCATGCATCAAAATATTTTTACCATGAAATTTTAAAGGTGCAAGAACGAGCATCTTTGATTACTTATAAACATTTGTTCTTGGCATCATGCAGATGGAATTTTCACCAAAAACTTCCATTGGATGACTGCACAAGTCATTTTTCTATTTCCAATCCAATAGTGAACTTGACTCAACCCAACAAGGCATCACCAAACCAGCTATGAGACAGAGGTACAAGGAAAAAAATTGAACAGGGTTACGGGGTCCAATTTTCTCCCAAAAGATAAATGCCAAATGTGACTCAGGAAAAATGAAGAAACATCATCATCAATCCAAAAATTGACACAGACAAACAAACAGAGGAAAAAACTTGACATTCTGATGATGTTTGTACCATAGAATGATTATGGCAAAATGAAATACATGACAAAAAAATATTTCCCTATTCAAAGACAAATTGTACGTTTCAGCAACTATGCATATCATATTTCTATTCCTATGTTGGCTAATAGGAGAAATTTTAGAGCCTACAGCATAGAGCAAGACCGGCCCATCATCCATTGTCTTGAAGGACATTGATGTCTCCCGGTGCTGCAGACAAAGAAGAAATAACGCATCAACATCGGAATCAGCTGTTATGACTGTGACAACAACTGCAAAGGAAGTACCTACCACTACAGACGCAATGCCAGGAAATAGACCAGAACATATAACAGCACGAACCAATGATTGATTATGACTCAATCTATTGTGTGTCACTCCATCAGTATCTAGCAATCCAGCATCTTTCAGAATGTAGGTGAACTGTTTACGAAGAGAATGGATGGCTTGAAGAGTCTGGACAGAGAGGAAGTTTCTCCAACAATACTCGTATGCAGATCCTTCTCTCTCTGCATCCCTCCATCCTTCGTATGCTCGGACAAGAGCCATATGGTCGCTATAGTCCTTTGCTGAGAATCTGGACTTTGCTGTCCCTGCTAACTGCATCAAAGATACTCATATTACAGCTGATAAATCTGTCCGCAGAGAAGACTATTGCGGACTGTTAGTTAGAGATTAGATACAAATAAAATGTTTCTGCATTCCAGGGAAAATCCTACACAAGATGCAAATGATAATAGAAGTCATGAGCATGTTATGGGGGAAGCTTATTTCAGAACATAAAAATTCCTTGAAGAGGGCAGGCATTTGATGCAGTTCCGGTTATGAATGAATACCTCGAGAAAATGGACTTTCAGGATATCGAGAAGGCATGCAATCACATCGGGAATTTCTAATATAAATTGTAATGCGTTGAACCTCAGCAAAAAACTTAAGCTGTTAGAGAGGAGAGGACACATTTATTTAATTAAATTTAGTCTATGCATTTGGCTACTAACAGTAACTGTATAAGTGTGTAGAATTCTGCATGACAGTATTCTTATTTTCAAATCAAACAGCTCTCTAGAGGTCTATACACTACTTGTGAGAGATTTTGATAAGATAACTGTCTCTCTCCCCGTTTATTTTGCTAATTTCTGAAGGCATAGCGGCTCGTGTCTCCAGCTCTGGGAGAACTTTACTGATAGGTATAACCTAGATAGCTTTACTTTAAGATAGCTTGGGCAGGCACTCTTCTTCAGAAAGAGGAGTTGCTTACAGTTAAAAACACTGAACATGAAAATAAAGGATTCCAAACTAGGAAGAAGGAAAAGGATGAAAATATAACTATTTCTTTTTAGTCCTTGGACTCTTTCTTTTCTGCAAGCTGAACATGGATACTTTCACATGTTTGTATTGTCTTTAAAGTGCTGTCTTTAGACAATGCATAAAGCAAAGTTTTGTTGAGATGATTATCCCTTTGGGCCCATGTTCGTTAGATCGCACCATTTACCCTTGTTAAATAATGGTCTTATAGATTCCCCATGAGGATGGTTCTCTTTTTCTTCAGACACTAAGATTTGTGGGGTTGGGAGCCTGTTATGGGAACGGGGACTGCATTTTCCTGGAGACCAATGATAAGGGTACCAAAATCAGATCTCTCCTATTTATTCAACCTTGCACGTGCTTATCTCTTTGACATCTTTGTGGACTAGATCAGCTGGTGCTTTCCATGGGATTGCTTTAAGAGACTTAGAATGCCGATGAACTTCTCTTATTTTTAGAAATTCATTTATTCTTATGTGTTTGTTTTCTATTTAGAATACCACAGGTCCTTGAATGCAATAAATTCTTCCCCTGCTAACATAAAAGTCATACCACACCCAACCCAGTCCCTTGAGATAAAAAAAACAAAGTTCACAATATTATAATAATATCTACAATTAGAAAAGTTGAGCTAAATATTCACAGCGTAAAGCTGGTTATTAGTCATTATCAGTATATTAACCATGGTAACTGTATTCACTTAATTATGAATGTTTATATAGATACGGATAGATTAGCTATAATACCTATACAGGAAGCAAAATTAAATAACAAAAAATGTTTTGTGATTAAAAACATGAAAATGGTCACAGGTAACCATTAAATCATTACTGCGGCAGAAGTAATCTGTTGGTCATATCATATAGTAGGGTAGAAAGTCAGGAAGTATAGCCATATCAAAGGAGATAAATGCATCTAAGGTTGAAAGCATGCAAATATAATATGCAAAGAAAATAGGTTCCGTGTATAGATTCAAACCCCTTATAATGTGTTCGCCATAAAATAACATATGATCATGCAACAAATGGCATGAAAAGTAGAGAGACAGAATAGAAGTATAGGAAAAAGAAAATACCAGTGCACAATTAATATTTGAGAAGAAGGCAGCATAAGAGGGGATGGAACCAAATATTTAGGTTTCCCAGCCAACTCTAATATTAGGTTGAAGTATTGACAAATTAAAAAGACACGCTTGCGTCAGAGGATATTTTCGCACTAAATTCTGCTTAGGTATCTGTAATCTCTCTTACTGCAGAAAACATTTTTCTTCTCGGAGACTAGTTCTAAATCCTGCCTGGGGATTTGCAATCTTTCTTACTAAATACATTTTTCAGCTTCCTAGGAAGAGTTCTAGCTTTCTTTATCATCATTACCTTGATTTGCAAAATGTTGAAAGATTAATATTCCATTTTTTTCCACAAAATGATATAAGATGCAATAAATTACATATTACCATGTCATCTGCATTTAAATTCAGTGCACCCAGATGTCATTAGTTAGGATGAAAATCGTACAAAATTATATTCATAAATATATGTTATTTTCAGAAAAAAGAATTATTCCATCCGAGAAAACTGTGCTATACCAATATCAAAATCTATTATTTATCATTCCTAATCTTTTGTCACTTTTGCTACATAGATTAAGAACCAGAAGATAATAAAATTATCTAACAATTAAAAAAGATAGGGACATCAAGTAACGAAGAACAATGGACTTTGTGATGGTTAAACTCACATCCTTTTTATCTTGAGGCAAAAGAAAAGGATCCCTGATGCTAAGACCAGCAACAATCGTCAAAATAGGGTCAAAGCAAGAAAAAATAGCACCAAGAATTAGCATTTTCCCAAGTTTCGGATCCACTGGAAGCACAGACAAGAACTTCCCTGATTGAATAAGAATAAAATTGAAAAAAATAAAAAGTTGGGAATAGAAAGGAAATTGATATCTAGGGTACTAAGAGAAATATGTAGTAGAATATCCATATTGTCTAATGCAGCCGTACCAAGATGAGTAAGATTCTCATTTTCATCTAAAGCACCTATCATCTTCAAGAATTCAATAGCATTTTGGACCTGCAATGATTTTCATTTTATGTCAAGTCGCAAGAAAAAATAAACAAAAGAAACAATCCATTGCCAAGAGAGGAGGAGAAAAAAAAAAGAAGAAAACAAAAACAGATAAATTAGCACATCAACTAAAATACAATAATACATAGTACCATTAGACTCTAATTAGGGAGCCTCCGAGGTGCTTATTCTATATTGTTTCTATCTCATGATAAAATAAACTAAAATCACAGAACATTTTCACAGTTGGATACAACTTTCCGTTCCCTTCAACCTTTCATTCTATTTTCTGCCACAGGAACCATATTATTTATGGTAGAAATCCATTTCCCTCCATTGTTTATCACAATTCCAAATTTCCAACCCATGAGACAATGTTTTTCAAAGTAGTCATGGATGATTTTTCCCTAAATGTAAAATTTATGGCAGACAGATAAACTTTATATTGTAACTAGGCGGACTATGATTTACAATATAGTATACCTACACATAGACATCAGCCCCAAAGGATATTACTGAAAAAGAATCCTAAAATAGTCAAAACGTAAATCCTTACAGCCAATGGTTCAGGTGGCTGAAGAGCAGCAGATAGAAATTCTCCAATACTTCCAACTTGCAAACTTTTTATTTGCAAGCACAGGGAGTTCAAAGGAGTCCTTAGAAGTTCAGGAAGTTGGTATTCGGCAAAAGCTTCATAAACGCATCGTGGATATAGATGGTAGCACTCGCCAGGCTGCACACGGCCAGCCCTACCCCTTCTCTGCAACCCAAACAATAACATGAAGCAAAATAACAGTCACTGAGTAAACTGGCATAAAGAAACATTAAGTATTAAAATAAAAATGAAGATACTGCAATGAATTGAATAAAATCAGTCACATGCCCTAGCCTTCTCTGTACTTAACTGACCATGATAATCATGCATTTACATTTCATTTAACTAAATTTGTGCATTTCGAATTATGAAATATATTGGGAAAATGTTAAAGAGGGGATAAATTTATTATTTTATCTTCAACACACTGCATACAAATTATTTCGTATGAAGTACTCATATTTTACACGAGTTTAACGGTGCATTCAGTTTCCCTCGACCAAAAGGGATGTGTGGTGGTGGTATATTTCCAAGGAAGATACGATGCTACAATGATGGAAAAATGTTAAATTATACTGATTTTGTTATTGATGGACGTGAATCTTTTGGTTGGTCACCACTATGAGACTAATTGTCCCTAATCCACAGTTCCTCACTATTGGAATTCAAGTTAACGCATGTTTGGATGAAACTTACGAATGTGATCTGGTCTAGAATGACTTTAAAACAATTATATTAGGTTTATATGAATATATATTAATCTGGTTTTAATTTTAGTCAGTGTTGAGATCAGACACAGTTGGAAAGTAATAAGGAAAGTGCCACATCATATTTCACCCCAACTCTTATCTTATTAACCAAATTTGTGATATTTTCCTTCATTTTTTACCAAGGCTTACTAAAAACATCGTTTTCCACCAAATGGTTTTTAATGATGGTATATATAGCGGTAATTTGATTTTTGGTTCTTAAACTCTCACATGTAATGATGTTCAATGGGATTCAATCTCGTTTGGAGATATGTAATGATGGCTTAAGGAGTTAGGAATGTAGTATAGCATTCGATAGAAGATAAAATCCCAAATCGGATAAAAAATACACTAGAAAACCTAGCTATGTATACTCTTAGCACAAGTGATGATATTTTTGGCTTTGGTGGACCAAAATATCAATATCTTGGTGCACACGTTGATACTTGGCCAATAGATGGAGAAAGATTCGACATCCCCTTGTTGGCCTAAAATGATAGTTCTCCACCCCTTTGCCTTAGGATGATATGGTTCTAGGGTTCTAGAGTGTGTTTGGTAGGGATTTTTGGGGGAAGAATTGATTTTTGAATAGTGATATGATGGGAAATGTGTGGTTGAAAAAGAAGAAAAAAGTGTTGATGTGATGAAAAATATTATTTTATTGAAGAATGTGTGGTTGAAAATGAGAATTGATTTACTGTAGAAAATGAAAATCTATACCAAACAGGCCCCTAATGTATTTAGACGGTAAAGTTTTCAACAAGAGTTTTAACACTGATTAACACTATACACGGGAGGTATATCATGAATATGAGTAATATAAGTGTATTAAGGTCAACTGAGTACACTTATGAAGGTTCGACTAAGTTAACTTACAGAGGATGCATTATTAAATTCTTCAAGTCAATGGTGAGACCTCCCCCATTTGCATTTCTCTTCCTTTTATACGAGTATTCATGCTAAGTAATTATGCATGTCAACTGCAATGCTATACGTACTAAAAGTTATGGTTTGATGATATTTATTCTATGTTATGGTATTCAAAGCTAACCATACTTTGAGAATTGAACATGATATGTGGAGTATCGATTTGCAAGATACGAATCATATTATTTGTGATCATATACATAAATAAAAGCCATGAAATGGCAAGAGTATAAACATGTGCATGCATGCATGTGATTACGAGAAACCTAGCATGCACGACGATTTTTGGACAAAGAATGTGTGCATTACACGAAAAAAAAAAAGTAGCATGTGTTATTGCATGGAGGACGATGTGCATAGGAGATGTATGAAGATTATATATAGAGACGAGATTGCAAAGTGGTAGAATGTGTAAGCCTTACAGGAGGTAAAGGAAGAGATTGCCCTCACAATCTGATTAAATGCATTCATCTATAATGTTTAGTGTTGGATGATTGTAATGAGATTCAATATATTATGACGTGCATAAGTATAGAACTTGGGTTAAAGGTCTAAAAGAAATTATTTCGAATCCAAGATCTTAAGCATGATGTTCATGAGATTTATAGCACAGAGATAAAAAAATCTTATATGATGTTTTGAAATGCACGGGTGAGTGGATGAGTATGTCAGTATTCGATGTTTATGCAAGCATATCTTACCTACTGAGTCACTAGTTCACATAATCTTGCATTGTAAACCCTAGCAAGCCAAGAGCTCAATAGAAACTAGGGGAGTTGCCAAGACTCGATGAATTTCAAAGCTCAATGTACATCAGCGTAACCTAGTGAGTTCATGCTTCGAGTGCCCTTGGTTGTGTTTTGAGATAATATTTTGACACTTACACTTGTTGTGAACTTTTTGAAGATGTATATTATTTCTATCCAGTCAATTTTAATGAACTTTCCAGTTATGTTTACGCTTACTGAGTTGTTTATGGTTATATGTTCTCATGTGTTATGGAATGACATTATATAAATGCCCTCTCTTTTTCAATTAAGGATAAGGAAATTTATTTCGTGATTGATTAATGGTGCATCAGTATTCGAAAATTTGAAAATTGGCCTATGAAAAAAATAATGCAATAACAAGGGTAGTACAAAGCTTTCATAAGAACTACCTCAATATTCTAAATGATACATATCCATGACAGTTAAAAATCTGCCTATATGTCATGAAAACATGCACAACCAAGTAAGCATTCAAACTCAGTTCCATAATGGCAGGTGTTGCATTTGCTATATTCCTAATATTTAATCAAAAAAGAAAGCGCTTTCATTCTGCCACAGCATACAAATGAACTGAGAGCCAGTGAGAAAAATTTGTGCAGAAAATAGAACTTACTTGCCGAGCAGAAGCTTGTGATATCCATGAAGGTAGTAAACAGGGTGTATTATTTAGGGCATCATAAGTAGTCTCCTTTGCTTTTCCACAGTCAACCACAAAAACGATATCATTGATTGTAATACTTGCCTCGGCCATATTTGTGGCAAGTACTATTTTACGAACATTAGGAGGTGGCTTCTCGAATATGAGTTTCTGTACAGTGACATGGCTAGATATAGTGAACAAGATAATACACAGTTATAGTTATGAAGTGGTACTAACAACAGAATACACATCTTGATACATTGCAAACATTCTAGTGAAAACACAGAATTGAACGTGCTATATCTCAGAAAAAATTGGATTCCCAAAAATGTACAAGCTACGCATTATCTAAAAGAGTAAAGATTTAACAAGATAAAAGAAAGCAATTGAGAGCTCTACCACCTTGGAGTCACCTATCCATATAAAACAGAGATGCGGACAATAACTAAAGTAACAATGATAATGAAGACAACTGAATAACAGTGTTATTTGTGCCTAGTGGTAATAAAAGGAAATGTAAAACTAAAAAATTCAAACGAGATAACTCTCTTACCTGTTCAGATGTTGCCATCGAACCATGACATGGAAGCAGCAGGATCCTGTTGGGGTCCCCTAACAGAGGGTGAGCTTTTAGTTGATCCCTCAAACAACTAATATCCTCCCACCCTGTCATAAACACTAACACACCACCTGGACGTTCCTTGCGACATATGTGACACAAAACAGCCTCAATGAGATTAAATCCAATAGAATCAGGTGTCCAGCAAGACAATGACTCGTGCACCCTGGAGTTAAAACTCTCAAAATTTGATTTATTCAGAGCATCCTGTCAGTATAAACAAATCTACTTAGATATCTATTTGGCAGGCGCTACATGGACAAAGCACATTCTTTCATCAGTATTAACCAGCAACACGTACCAAACAAATAACTGTAAAAACACAGAGAGGATAAAGCCAATATAGAATTAAGTCACAAATTCCATATAAAACAGAAATCACAAATTCCATCAAGCGGCATCATTATGAAGTATGTGCTTGGTCAGTGACAACAAAAGTATAAAATAAATTAACCACTTATTGCATCAAAAAAATTGTGAATTGAGGATATTTACTTTCTGACTTGTCAAATTGAAAATTTTCTTTATTTTAGACGACACCAAGACGAAATCATTCCTTGGCATTATTTTGTCCAATTTTCCATTTACTTCCATTCTATTTTGGTAGGTTTGGTAAGTTTATTTTGCGTTAAAGAAATCACTCAATTTTGATTTACAAACAACATATAAATGGACTGCGAGCAACCTACTAAGGTCAAGCTTGGTTCATACTCTCGACAATAAGCTCAGAGTTCAGTCAGCCAACTTAAAACATTAAATCGGGGGTATGATAAAGTGAATTCTTGGATTGGTGATGAATAACAAAGTTCAGTCGTTTTTGCAAGATGAACAAAAAATACTTTTCCATAGGTGTTACCTGTAATCCAACACGTGAAGAAAATCTGTGGTGCATTTAAATGTGGTTTCCTACCTCAACAAGAGTAGTGATCTGATTTTTCCTTTTTCGTGGTGCTAGCTGCCTTTGTGTTTTCCACGTCTTCTCCTGGCCATAATCATCCACTTGATTAAATGAAGTCAACTTATATCCAGTTGCCTCCAATATATCTTCCAGAAAGTGGGCTTTTACTGGATATGTGAAGCCCTACATTAACATGAAGAGACTAGTGTTACTAGTATACAACTTTTTTTCTGATAGATAGAAGAAAGGTATATGCAATGCCCACCAACTTGGATAAAAAATGCAAATACATTTAAACTAGACAATCAGTTACTGAGTAATGCCATCAGGTATGTATATACCCCCAGTCTCTTGCTCTAGAAGACTGCTTGCTTAAATCCTTGAAAATCAGATTTAATTTCCAAATAGTAATAATAATAATAATAATAACAGACACGAAATGCTTTTTTTCAGCTAAATCAGTTGAAATTGCAAATCATTTATAGACCCTTCTTGAGATTGCATACTCAGAGAACTTTAAGCTATCAGAAAATTCAAGGCCCTAAAAGCAAGAATTTCCATTTATTGTTCAAGTGTTTGAAACCATAAACTCTAAATTAACTTGAATGTTAAAGTTTTTGCTTACAGGAATGTGAATTGTTGGTGCTCCACCAAAATAATCAGAAAATAAATCAGCATTCAGAGTAGCACTCATCAAGATCAATCTCAAATCCCGTCTTCGTGGGAGAAGGTTCTTTAACACAATCAGCAAGAAGTCTGAAAAGGGGAAGATCAATGGCATGTCAAGAATGAAATATGAAACAGTAAAATGAGAAAAGTGAAAGTATGTATATGCACCTTCATTCATGCCTCGCTCGTGAATCTCATCGATGAAAACATGAGTTATACCATCCAGGTTGCGATCACTCAAGAGCCTGCGGAGCAAAATACCACTTGTACAGAAGAGCAAATGTGTATTTTTGCCTTTCATTCCCTCTAATCGTACTTTATAGCCAACCTATCAAAAGAATCTCAGTTGAAGGACAGAGACTAGAAACTAGAATATTTTGTATTAGAGACTATCTTTTCAGCATACATTGAATTCACAGAGAGTGTTAATCTAATTTCAATAACAAGAAGTTGAAAGGAAAAAGACAGAAAGTGGCCTACTGATTCACCAAGAGGCTCTCCCCTCTCTGCAGACACTCTTTCTGCAACAGCCATGGCTGATATTCTTCGAGGCTGAGTACAAATTATGTTACAGAATGCTCCCCGGCCAGATTCTATTTCAGACTCCAAAATGTATTGAGGAAGTTGGGTGGTCTTACCGCATCCAGTTTCTCCAGAAATTACCACAACCTGTTGTTATAAGAAAAATCTGGAATACTTCTAAATAAATAGAACTCGTAAAATTTGACAAAATATATATATATAGCCTTGATAACATTTCAATTTAATGGAATTCAATTTTTACTTTAATAAAATGCAAAATCCAATAATTTTAACACTCATGGACTCTAAAATATAATACTCCGTGCACAAGTCCTTTGGAAGAAGACATCAGGATCAGGATGCAGAACAAATCAAATGGGTTGTTAGCAGGTAGAAATACTATAAGCAATTGTCTTGAGGATAAGAAAAACACGTCTGTGCCCTCATTTAGCTCCAAAGGTACAATTACTCCCATTACCACATTAGATAGATTGTTCCAATAAAAGGCAGCCGTCTAAAGATCATCAGCAATGGGAGCAGAATCTCCACAATGCCAATTCCCATGAATCATGTGGTCATAGTTATTATACCCGACCCGGTAGTTGACCCAAACAAATCATCAGGTCATCGGTGGTTCAACCATTACGTCATTACAAGCAAATTTTAGTTAAAAAATATTTTTTAAAACAGAGAGTCTATTACTTTGCTAAAACTCAATATATATGTGTGTGTGTGTGTCACATCTACTGTTAAGATTCTTCAATTGGCATAATGGTCAAGCTTCTCATAATTCATAATGGGAGCATAGGTTTGAATCTTTCCATTGCAAATGTGATAAAGAATTTTGCTTTAAACGGTTTAGATTGAACAGGTTCCGGTTTTCTCCTAACCCGTTCGGTTCGGATGGTTATAGACCGATTTGAGCAGTTCTTGACCGGTTCATATGCTAATGAACCAATTAATACAAACTGGACCGGACCATTGTCCGGTTCAACAGTTCCCAGTCGAGACCGGTTTTAATAACAGTTCCCGGTCTAGACCGGTTTTAATAACTATGCCTGTGGTAGATGTATAAGAAACATGGTATCCAGGACATGGTAGAAATTGCCATTGCAATGAATCTGCACCCATCCTGTTATAATCCTCACAACAGAGAAGTGCAAAAGATTTACTTTGATTAAAAAAGTATAATGTGTCTGTCTCCTATTGCTAAAACTTGAACAAAAGTTTCTGGTACCTGAAAAATTGATCGTTCCATCAAATCTATAAAAAATTATAACGATTTTATTTTTCAAAAAAACTACTTTCTCCGAAATACACCTTAATGGAGCCTTAATATCGGTAATAATGATAGCCTATGGTGTCGAACCAAAACAGTCAATGGGGAGTTGAAACATCAATCATGATTAAAGTCAAGGTATTAGTCATGGACACAGAGAGCACTGCTCCATATGGGTCATGATATATGAGATCGGTGTTAGCCAATGGGAAAGTTTTGCTCTTTAGAGTGGCAAATAAATTCAGGAGAAATAGTGAAGAAAAGGGGGAGAATTCAGAAATCGCCATCTTGCATCAATGGACAAACAAGACCATTTGACACATTAGACATTATATAGGAGAATTATACAGGCACCATAAAATGTCGAGAGTTCAAATTATAAAAATAACTAAAAAATAAGCTCGGTATAATTTCTACATTGATTAGAGTTGGGAAAAAAGGCGCGTCATAATTTAAACAAATATAATAACTTGATTATTCTAAGAGGCATTATCCAGCTCGTTAAGAACCTATAATAAAATGATGCTAAACAGAAATCAAATATATACAAATATACAGACAATGGAATTAGTCAGCATCCACATCATACTTGTTTAAGTCGTTATATGGGAAATGTTAGAAGGAATAATATGAATTTCAGAGTTAAACCTGATTACATGCAATTGCTTGAAGGAGCCTTTCCTTCTCCCTGAAGGCTGGGAGGGAATTCCTGAAATTCAGCATCCTCTTGCCTTCAGGTGACTCCTGCAGAAAATGTGCAAATTAATTTCAGCACCAAAATTCCAAATTTGCAAGCACTGGTAAGAAGGGTATATCAATAAATAAGATATCAAAATAACACACTGAAATTTCTTGTGTAATATATACACAATAATGACTAACACTTCTAAAACAGTGCAGATCCATTACCCCTTGACTGCACAAATAACATTGATAACTACATGCCTAAGAGTAAAATAAGAGAATGCCACCAATTTATTAAAATAAATCGTATTGCAACCATACAGCATACAGGTGATATTGAGATGGAAAAGGTAGCTAAGTTGCATTGTTATTTTTTGTGAAATCTAGATCTAAGTTCAAAGAAAACTGATCTGATGTTTGAGAAGCAAGTTCACTATTTCTTGTTACATATACATACAAAGCACACTTTTTAGTCGGCAATGAATTTTCCTCAAGTGGAAATTCCACCACGTGCACAAATATTCATTCACGATAGCATATATCACTATTAATGAACTTCTGCTCTAAAGATTAGGCTTTGTGACTCCACACAAATCTTCAAGAGATAGTTACAGAACTCCAACAAAATCAAGTGACCATATCTGATTCCCTATAAAGAGCAACAAAAGGAGAATCAAATTCTCTCGATGGACATTCTCATTCATTTCTTGATTGAACAAGATGGAGGACAAAGGCAGATGCTGAAATCTAATGCAGGTAGTCATATGCTTAAAATTTATCAACAATTTGTACCATCATATGCGTGAAATGCTCGCGTGAGATTTTTTTTTTCTTTTTTGCGGAAGCTCAGGGTTGTTTGAGCCCCATTTTTTGTAAAAATGGATTTTATAATAGTGATTTTTGTTTTTTGTTGAGAGAACGTACGATAGAAAATGAATTCGGGAGAAAAATGAGTTTTTTTTTTTTTTT